GGGGGTATTCCAATCCCCCTACACGGCGCCTGTAGCGCCAACCCTATTTTCATGAGAGTTTTGTCGATGTTGTTATCATATTGTTAACAGTGATATTTTGGCGCGGTAACCAATACGACCGAGTTTTGATAGTAAATTCACGCATGTTTCAGATAAAAACGACAGATTCAATCAGCGAGGACACACTGGCAGAAGCGAGAAAAGTTGAACGACGTATGATGTTCATTCCAGTCGCTTTCATTCTGCTGAGAATCTGGGGCACAGTCCGGTATTGTGCTTACATCAGCAAACTCTCCGTCAGAACGAACGTCCTTCAGAATATGCCGCTTTATGCTTTGCAGGTAGGGGCCTTTAACAAGTAGAGACCTTACGATTTTAGGACGGCAACGCGACGGCAACGGCTACCAATACAATAGATCATTGAGAAAAATTAAAAAATTACAATATATGAATAATTTAGACATTGTCCTCGCACTGTTTACAACGCTAAATCGCAGATTTTCACGTCTTGATACAACGGCTGCATTCCAAGCCGCAACAAGTGTAACTTCAAACTGGGTTCAGGAGAACTCTTCCCAACCATATATAAAACCAATCTCTTCAACTTCTAAGACTGTATTAAATTCATACGATTGATAATGTACAGTACGACGAATTATCTTTACTACCATTTATTTGAAGGAGTTTGTTTTGGCCGTCGTCGTCGCGTTGCCGTCCTAAAATCGCAAGGTCTCTAATATACGGTGTAGCCTAACCACATTTCAGAAGAATAATATATATCTGACATGCGACATTCGACTTCGTTTGAAAGTTGCGTGCTTCAGTAATCCCGAAAGCTACATGCGCTGGCAGGAACAAATATAACTCCTTAGAAATTTTATTTTATATTCTTTTCACTTTTTAGGGTCTCGGCGACAGCAGTCAAGGCTTCGCGAACAGTATATTTTTCTGTATATCAAATAAACGGGTTTACGAATATTGGAAGTATACTTTAGCAAATATTCTCCCAGACTTTTTGTGCTACAACCCGGATTCTGAAGATAGTGAACGAACGCCTATAATTTACAGTTTAAATGTAGACAATAGATGAAGCAGGGAAGAGCTTGAACGCTTTGGTTTAAACTCCAGGATGCTGTGAGTATATATCACGCTGTACGATACATCCTGGCCATCTGTTAGAAGATTGCAGACATTTCATGGGAGTGCACTTTTCTTTGGCCACCGAAATTAATCAAAAATTGTGCTAGAAAAAATAATTCACATTATCCTCTGTTTAAGAAAATCCACCTTTGGATATATGATAAAACACTATACAGGGTGTATCAAAATAAACGCAATTCATCTTTTGTGCTTAATAACTTTCGAAATACTATTTCTAGTTAAACGCTTTTAGGCTTACTTCAAAGCCTGTTCTTTTCTCTTTCAAACAAACTATTATCCTTGTCTCCAATGCTAGTAATAATTGCACAGGAAAAGATTTAGTAAAACCTATCATTTTTAGTTGCTGTTTAATTATGCAAGTTTACTATGTTATTGTTTAGTCGGTTTAAATGTTAGAATTTTCTTCTTTAAACTTTAATGTTGTCGTCACTACATCTGGAAAACCACGAAGAACAAATTAAAAGTATTTTAAAGAGACCAGGTTGTTTGAAAATCCTAAACGAATGCTAAAAATCGTGAAAACATTCTGGTGTCTGAGCCAGAGTGTCATCGAATTGCGATGTAATGTAAACAGAAATTATAGCAAGTTGATGTCAGTCAGCTTAGATGGTCCAAGCCAAAATTATATCGCATTTGAAGTTTCAAACTGAGTTAAAAATAGTGGAAGAAAAGCCGTAATTATACTTATTGTTACAATCCATTTAATAAAATGCAACATTTTTTGTTTTAATGAAAAAATCAGTTATTTTCATGAGAACGATTTGTTATTCCATCTCAATTTTTTTAATCTCCAATCGCAATAACGTAAAGTATTATTACCCGCGAACCAATGAGTCAAATTTAAGAAACAACCCACTGTTAGAAAGCTGAATGGCTACGCTTTAAAATGAATGTAAACTTTAACGTTTTCGTCTATTATTTGTTTAGCAATTTACATTTCAGTCGAGGATTGCGCTTTTTTTGATACACCCTGTATATCGAATTTATTCGGGATTTTTTGCATAAATTGTTGAAATTCCTATCTAGTGTACGCTTCGCAACTCCGTACATTGTATAACAATAGACAATTCCCATTATAGACTAATTTTTTATCTTGGCAAAAAAGTATATTCCGGGAAAGAGCATACTAAAATGAGTAAAATTGCAAAGTTTGGTTGCGAAATGTTGTAAAATGCGGAAAATATAGTCTTGCAAAGTTTGAAAATTTTGTATACTTTTGTGCTGCGCGCGGAAATCGCTACCACATTTGGGCCTAAAATGGTAGCAATTTCCGCAGCACGCAATATAAAAGTATACAAAATTTGCAAACCTTGCAAGGCTATATTTTCCGCATTTTACAACATTTCGTAACCAAACTTTGCAATCAGTTTACTAATTTTAGTATGCTCTTTCTAGTCGTGGTGATTTATTTGCATCTCCTTGCCTGGTTTTAAAATTAGTCTGTAATGGGAATTGTTTATTGTCTATTCGTGAAGTGGCATGCAGTGAAGATCATCGTTGGATAACTGATTCTGTTGCAAACTGTTAGGGTGTTGCAAAAATGTTATGGTATTTACGCTTTGTATCGCATGTTCTAATTTTGTTAACATCAGGAGCGTAACTATCCCTAAATGTGGGGGCATGGTCCGCCGTCCAGGGGCATGGTCCCGCGGAAAATTTTAAACCTAAAGGTCCAGACACACCGGACGCGATTCGAAAACGCGACGCGATTTTTCGATTTTCACTGACCGATAACTTTTATCCTAGTTTAAATTTTCCAAATATTTAGAAGCGCTATAACATTTTGAGTTATTTGGTCTGCGTATCTTTCAAAATTTGCTCTCATTGGCTGTTTTATTAACTTTCAAAAACTAAAAAATCGCGTTGCGTTGTCGAATCGCGTCCGGTGTGTCTGGACCTTAACCCTCCAGCAGGAATCGAACCTGCAGCGCTGTGATTCCGGTGCAGTGCTCGAACCAACTGAGCTACAGAGGCCAGTTGTCGAGCTCGAACCACAACTTCATGTATAATTCTCCATTTGTAGATGGAAATTTCTATTACGTGAAATTTCAATTGCTATTGCATGTTTGTGTGATTGTGTAATTGAACTAGTTTAGGGACCAGTCATTATTTATGGCGGGGGGTGGCACCGAAGAGAAATGTTTTTCGTGGCAAAAATTTTGCTGACCCAACCATTAAAAAGTAAAAAATTTGGTTACCCAACCTCAAATATCAATTACAAAATAATTACCCACCCCTGGCCAAAAACGTTACAAAAAACACGCCATTCAGTTGTCACACATGTCCTTTACCACTTCTGTGACATGAGTTTGATAACGGCTTGTGAAATTTTCTGCAGTCTAAAGTTTCATGTTGTCTGCACATGTAGTTTCTTTGGAGACACCATTTGTTTTGTCAAAATGATCAAGATAGTGACTCTGATTGATTCACATATTGTATTGCCAAATGACTGTTGACATTGCTTTTCAGTCAACAATATTTTGATGGTGAGTCATGTTTTTGAAATGACAATAAATTTTTATTACCCAACCCTTGAGTTGTTTTGTTTTTCATTTACCCAACCTTTTAATTACTCAAAATTTTGTTTACCCAACCCTTTTCTCTTCGGTGCCACCCCCCGCCATAAATAATGACCGGTCCCTTAATAGACAATTCCCATTATAGACTAATTTTTTATCTTGGCAAAAGAAGTATATTCCCGGAAAGAGCATACTAAAATGAGTATAATTGCAAAGTTTGGTTGCGAAATGTTGTAAAAAGCGGAAAATATAGCCTTGCAAATTTTGTATACTTTTGTATTGCGTGCGGAAATTGCTACCACATTTGGGTCGAAAATGGTAGTAATTTCCGCACGCAATACAAAAATAATACAAAATTTGCAAACTTTGCAAGGCTATATTTTCCGCATTTCACAACATTTCGCAAACAAACTTTGCAATTGTACTAATTTTAGTATGCTCTTTCTAGTTGTGATGATTTATTTGCATCTCCTTGCCTAAAATTAGTATATAAAATTAAAATATTTAAAATTAGTATATATAATGGGAATTGTCTATTAAACAGTACCTTTAGCTCTTTTCCCATTCAGGTCACTGCCACAGCTTTGGCGATTTTGCATCCATTGAAAATATGTCATCTTCCTAGAAAAAGTAGATTAGTTTACTAAAAATCTCTTAAGCCGTGCAAACAAATCTCTGTAGCACGACAATGTAAAGTCATCGACAATGTAAATGAATGTATAATTAATTCCTTGCTAAGTGTTTACGCAAACTTGATGACTGCTGATGATCTGTGAAAGAATTGAAACTATGCTATTTACTGCATCACAAACAAGTGAACACGATAGCTTGATACGATGCAAGGAATTGAAACAGTTTACAGAAGGCAGGTCTGTAACTGCAAGGAATTGATATAAAGTTGCACCAAATGAATAAAGGAAGAAGAAGGGGTATTGCTTTACCGCCTGGACGGGGTTTTTCATTCAACCAAAACGATTTCAGCAAAGGTAATCTTTACTCAATTGATAAACATAACGAAACATATATTGAACAAAACAATGCAGAACAAAGTCCAACGAAAGAGGATACAACAACAAGGAATCTATTTAGGGGGGATCGCAGAAGTTCAGCGTGCAGTATGACTCTACCATTGGGTCCGGAGAGAAGGAGAAAGAACTCGTTTCAAATTGGTCGTCTCACGTCGAGCAGGATTCAGGGACTTGTACAACAGGATGATATTGAAAGTCATTTTACCGTCATACTTGGCTCGCCTGCCGTTGGAAAGACAGGTGAGACCAAATGTCAATTATATTAAAGAGCTCTATATATCTGCTTCGTAGAGGTCCAGTAAGAGTCATCGCTTATTAGTCCAATGTTATAGTACGAGAGGAAACCTGAACTAAGCTAACTTTATTTATTCTGGATAGTTCTATCAGTTCTAAATTGTTCTCCCTAGAGGTCCAGTAAGATCATCTCTTATTGATCCAGTGTTTATACGTGAGGAAAGCTGAACTAAACTAAGTTTATTTACACTGGATAGTTCTATCAGTTCTAAACTGTTCACCCTAGAGGTATTGTTTCCACTAGTTGTTGTAACAAGTCTGGAACAAGTTGTTATCGCCTTCTTACCAGGTTGACGATGGTAACGGACTTGCTACAAGTTGTTCCAACAAGACTGATCATGATAAAGGCTTTTCGTATATGGTGTCATCAATTTGTTACGTGCAGACGATATCAGCCTTGTTGGAACAACTTGTTGCGAGTCTGTTAGCCTCATTAACCTTGTCGTCAGTAACTGGGAACAAGCATGCAGTCGAACACATCTTGTTGACAAGCTGGGCGAATTTTTAAGCCCATACCTAGAGTTCCAGTATAAATAAAGTTAGTTTAGTTTAGGTTTCCTCCTATAGTAACACTGGATCAATATGAGATGATCCTTACTGGATCTCTATAGGGGGAACAGTTTAGAACTGATAGAGCTATCCAGTATAAATAAAGCTAGTTTAGTTTAGGTTTCCTCCTGTAGTAACACTGGATCAATAAGAGATGATGAACCTTACTGCATGGACCTCTAGGGAGAACAGTTTAGAACTAATAAAGGTATGCAGTATTGAAATAAAGCTAGTCAAGTTTAATTTCAAGCAGTAATTAAACTTTGAATTAAATAGAGCTTACCAAATTTTGACTTGTCGAATGTCACTAACTAATATATTTCGTACATATTGAAACACACTTGCGGAAATGAAATATTAAGAAATCCGTTCTTAATGTCATCGCTAATCCGTCGTGAATAAACATGAATTATAACAAGAAATAAATGAATCTTTGGGGATTAACTTCTAATCGATCTAACCGATCTGCCTTCTTAAATTATATTTTTTGGGTCAAACAAAAGGTTTTCAAGCGTTCAGCCGGATCAAGAGTGCACGAGAGTTGACAGTCGTGCGATCTTGGTTAGCTGTTCTTAATGCTTTCACATATGATAAATTTCAGCCTGGGATGAGTTAGAATTTCAGTTCAATCCCGGGGTGAAATCTCACCCGAGCTGAAACAATCAAGTCTCAAAATAGAGCCATTCCGCTTCTTCGAAGAATTTAAAATGTTGTTCATGTCTATTATTTGACTTGTGCGATACTGTGGTTGCATTTAAAAGTAGAAGAGAAAGAAATAAAGCCACTTAGGGCCTGTTTATATGGTCCCGCTTACCCGGGATTCAATGAAGTGTGACGTATTTTGAGCTAAGAGTTTCAGCCCTAAACCGGCAAAAGTTAGATAACTTTAAATATTGTTTAAACGAAATTAGGAACGCGCTAGAAGTTATGTAGTGGAAGAAGACGATTAATAGCATTCAACAACATTTGGTTTTTGTCTAAAACATATGGAATTTCATACAATTTGTAAAAAGCAATTTTGATTTTTTCTGCAATTTTGCAATCAT